GGTGGGGAAGAGCCGGAGGGCCTGGAATCATGGCCTGGAACTGGCTGACCATTTCAGTCCGCTGAGCCTCCAGGCGCCAGTACCTGGCCTTGCACTCCCATAGGTCTTCCTTCTGCTTTCAAAGCCTATGCTCATAGTCCTCAGTGAGGCACTTCTGCTGAGCCTCCTTCTTGGTCAGATCCAATTTGAACTGAGCTGTTTTGCCAACTCTTTCTCCTGGTGGCTGCTTAGCTCCAGCAACCGCTTCCTGTTGGGGCCCTAAGGAGCCCGGTGGGTGGGCAGGCGAGAAGAGGCTGGCAAGGCGCCCCTCAACATGAGTGACATTGAGTTGGCCACGCCCACCCAGTCACCTGACCACCTAGCCACGCCCACCCAACCGGTCATTAGGCAGATCCTGTTAGTGGTCCGTGGGATTTAAAATTATGAATTTAGTGGTCCCTGAGGTCTGAAAGGTTGGGGACCCCTGCTTTAGTCCCAGGCCCAGGACGTAGCTCTCTTTCCTCCCCAAGTTGTGCCGAGGTGCAGGGCACGGGGTCATCCTAGCACCACCATCACCCCGCGTCATCTCCCTCACCGCTCTGCCTTTCAGATGGGCTGAAGCCGCTCCTCCCCGTTTCCCTGAGGGGGCAGATCGAGCTGCTGGTCCCCAGGCAGTGCTTCACCCTCAGTTACGACCTGAACTGCGACAAGCTCTGCGCCGACTTCCAGGAAGACGTCCAGTTTCATTTCTCCCTCGGCTGGACCATGTTGGTGAACCGGTTTCTGGGCCCCAAAAACACACGCCGGGCCTTGATGGGCTATGGCGACCAGGTGAGGCTGAGGTTTGATAACGCAAGATAGATTCCCCCTGTGCCTAGAGGTTCAGTTTTGCCCAAAACCCACCAAGGGAGGCTAAACTGTGCTGCCTTTGTTATCCTTCCAAACTGACCTTTTCTGGTGTGGAATTTTACACTCCTATGTCTTTTTCCCCTGGCCTCTGTTGCTTCAATCTGAATTCCGGAGGCTGGAATTCCCCCCGGAGGCAGCAGTCTTTCCTGCCCCCTAACCATCCAATCTTTGCCCACCAGGTCCAGCGTCCGTTGCCCCTGACCCCGGCAAACCCAAGCCTGCCCCCCATGCCACAGGGGTCCTTGACTCAGGAGGAGCTGATGGTCTCCATGGTAACCGGCCTGGCCTCCCTCACATCCAGGACTTCGATGGGCATCCTTGTGATTGGTGGAGTGGTAGGTTTTTGGGGAGCGTTCGAATAAAAGAAGTGAGGCCAGCTTCCTGATTTCTTCTCCAGGCGGAAGTGGAAGCATAATTCAGCCATTCCAAAGTTAGCTAAGTGCAATGGGTGCTGTAGTCCGTAGCTCCCTCTAGTTCTGTGTTTTTTCATCTTTCCTGTTTTTTTCCAAGGTGCTCTCCTTTGCTCTTTTTTTATTTTTATTTATCCAATTTATTGGCCGCCCATCTTACCACGGGGTAACGCTAGACAGACTGATCAGCGTAATTTTAGGGTGTTTATTTGGGACCTCATTTTCCCACAGCTTTGGGGTATTGGGGAGATGCCTTATAGCTTGTCGGATGCTGCAAAACTTTCCTTAAAAAAATAAAAAAGTTTCTTTAAAAAATCAAAGAGAGAAGCAACCTAGAACTAAAGAGAAAATTCCTGACAGTGAGAACAATTACCGTATTTTTCAGAGTATAAGACAAACCTTTTTCCCTCAAAAAAGAGGGTGAAAATCTGGGTGTGTCTTATACACCAAATACAGCATTTTTCACCTCTCAAAACCCTGCCCCTTTTGCAAAAATGGCCGTGCATAGCCTTTAGGAGGCTTATAGAGTGCTCCTGGGGGCTGGGGAGGGCAGAAATGAGCGAAAAATGGGCCATTTTTTTCTCAATACCTCAGCCCCCAGGAGCACACTAAAAGCTTCCTAAAGGCTATGCATGCCCTTTTTTTGACAAAAAATGGGCTCGTTTTTGGGAGGTCTGCAGAGTGCAAAAACTTTTTTTTTAATTTACCTCTTCAAAATCTGGGTGCGTCTTATACTCAGTAATACGGTAATCAGTGGGAAGCATTGCCACCAGAAGTTGTGAATGCTCCAACACTGGAAGCTCTTAAGAAGAGATCAGACAGCCATTACTAGAAAATATTCAAGGTCCCTTCCCACCCTGTTATTCTCTTCTATTCTGTCAACCGTCCCTTGCAGTTCATTCAGCAAATAAAATACTCCTGGGGCATTTTCACTTTCCAAAAGAGTACAAGATACTGAGCTGGCATGGATACAGAAGTAGCCAAACCAGTTCTAACAGGTTCAGGTGCAAATATCATAATTAAAATGTTCCCTTTTCTCCTGGCCCTCCCCTAGCCATTTTCTTTCCTCCAATCCCATTACATTCTTTTTGTTTGTGTAATGGGCTCTTCATCTTATTAGACTTTCCCAGCACTCGACCTTGAGACACTGGCTCTCACTTCGTTTGACACCCCACCCCACCCCAATACCTCCCTTACATTCCTATTCCTTCCTTCCTTCCTGTTGCTTCTTGTCAATGTCAGCATTGCAAGTAATGCACCCATAGAAAACAGAACTCTGAAGCGGGTAGATTTCTCAAAGAAGAGTTTTATTGGATATGTAATATTGGCACAGGCTGGTGAATACCGACTCTGAAAGTTCCCATGGTTTTCACCTAATTAAAAGAGAAAGTTTCCCTTCATCTCCAAGTCATTAGCCACATGGCCCAGTTGAGGTGCTGGCCAGTTACTTGGTTACTTTGCTCCTCCTTTCCCAGCCACCTGTTGGAATGACCTTGGTTCCCACAGGAACACTTTTTATTTTGACTACAACACCCTAGCTAAGTACTTATCTCCCCCTCCCACCTGAAACCTCAAAGATGGCCCCCAGACAGGTTCGCTTCAGGGTGGACAGTCCGGCTGTGAGACGAAGTGTTTTCAGAGTGAGCCAATGTGACACATTCCGTTAAAAACTGCCATTCTTTCTGAGGCCAAGCTAGTTTTCTGTCTGCATCCCCACCCCTAGGTCTGGAAGGCGGTGGGCTGGAGGCTGATCGCCCTTTCCCTGGGCCTCTACGGACTCCTGTATGTCTACGAGCGCCTCACCTGGACCACGAAGGCGAAAGAGAGGGCCTTCAAGCGCCAGTTTGTGGACTACGCCGGGGAGAAGCTTCAGCTCATCGTCAGCTACACCGGCTCCAACTGCAGCCACCAAGTTCAGCAGTGAGTTAAGACCTCCTGTTCTGACCTAGGCCTCCGAAGATCACTCGTCCCAGTAAAACCTCTTTTATTTAGGTTAAAGGGAATTCCTCTCCAGCAAAGTCCCAGCCAACAACATTTTATCAGATTTCACAACTACAGACCTTGATCAGGCTTGGAAAACTGGCAGGTCGATATCTTCCAAACACCATGCTGTAGCAGCAATTACTTGGCAAGAAGTCAGGAGCAGATCTTCCCCCTAATGAATTGAACTCATTGTCTCCTATAAACTCCTATAAAACCTCCCCTTTCGCTCCTCTTTATTCCCTATGGGAGGGGCCATTCACCGTCCACCTTTGCCTTTACTCCCGAGTCAGCCCTTGTTCCTTAGCTGTTCCCTTCTCCTGGCAGCTCTGCACATGTGCACACTGGGAACAGGCTCCAGCTGTTCATCAGCCCCACTGATGTCTGACTCCGAAGACAGCTGATAACTGTCAGACGGCCCTGGCCCCCTCTCTGCCTCCGATGCAGAGCCCTCATCAGAGCCTTCTCTAGACTCCAGGACTGGCCCATCTTCCTCCCCAACCTCTTCACTGTCCGAATCTGCTACCAGCTCAGCTGGCCGCTGGCGGGCCACAACATCTCCCTCCCACTGCGTCCAGCTCTTGCCAATGCAGCCTGAGGTCCAGGCTGGCATTTTGTAGGATGCAGGCAGTCCTCAACGTACGACCGTTCGTTTACTGAGCAAAATTAACGACAACACTGAAAAAAAGTGACTTACAACCATTTGTCAAATCACCGTCGCAGCATCAAAATTCGGACGCTTAGCAACTAGTTGATAATTTATGACGGTTGCAATGTCCCCAAAATCACACAATCACCTTTTGTGACTTTCTCACAATGGGGAAGCCAGGTTCATCTAACAGCTGTGTGACTATTTGTCTGTGACCAACTTAGCATCTGCAGAGATTGACTTAACCACGGCAAGAAAGGTTGTGAAATGGAGCAAAGTTCGCTTAACAGCCGTCTCACTTAACAATAGAACTTTGGGGAGGCTGATCGTTGTTGTAAGTCGAGGACCGCCTGCACACCCAACCCTGTTGGCCTTCTCTGAGTAGAAAGAGCATCAGAAGTCGCTTGTGGGAAAAGCTTTTAAAAATTGGTAGCATACACCGCAACCCTGCGGATAGAAGAATTAAAATTAATCTGCTTTACAAACTCATATTAGGGATGCGGTGGCTCAGTGTCTAAGACTTAACAAACGCAATGATTCCCTTAACAACCATGGCCAGAAAAGTTGTAAAATGAGGCAAACTCACTTCAACAAATGTTTCACTTAGCAATGTAAAGTTGTGGCTCAGTTGTGGTCGTGACTCGAGGACTACCTGCATTAGATTTATAGGAGGGAGAAAGGGGCTTTTCTCGCATTGAGGTAAGTGCCTTGTCCCCTTTCACTTTTTTTTTGACTATCCCCTTTTTTTTTGTTCCTTTTTCACTTTAAAAACATCTCGTCAAAGGGAACTGGCGGGAACCTTCGCTCAACTATGCCAGCAGGTGGACGTGACGAGAGACGATCTAGAGAAAGAAATTGCAGGCCTGAATCAAAAGATTGAGATTTTGGATACTTTACAGAGTAGAGCCAAGTTACTTAGGTAAGTCTTGCCATTTTTATCTCTGTCCAACAGCTGGGTGGCAGCGCCCTGGGGTGTCAAACTGGAGTTCATTGAGGGCTGCATCAGGGTTGTGCTTGACTTTGGAAGGCCAGGAATGGGTGGGTGGGTGGGTAGGTGGCAGGGGGGCATGGCCATGGTGGACGTGACACGGGACACAGGGAACCTGTGGTGACTAGGTGCTAAGGCAGAACTTCCCTCCCTCACTCTCATAGCAATACCAATAGCCCTTAGACTTGTATACAGCTTCACATTGCTTCACAGCCCTCTCTAAGCAATATACAGAGTCAGCCTCATTTCCCCCAACAATCTGGGTCCTCATTTGACCCGTTTCGGAAGGATGGAAGGCTGAGTCAGCCTGGATTGAGTCAGGATTGAACTCTTGGCAGTGGGCAGAGTTAGCCTACTGTACTGCATTCTAACTAC